GCTTCACGCAAAATCGTGAAGCGTTCCACATTTTTTTAACAAATATAAATAATGCTGTGAATCGGGAAAGAATAGGAGTTACGGATAATTATTACGTGAAGCGTTCCAACATTCACGTAACAGGATATTTTGATAGGAAAGGATTGAGAAAGGATTGTGGAGAGGAACTTCTTAATGTGAGTGCATAGAATATGTGAGAAAAAATTATTAGATAGCTCGGACTAGCGACCGGGCACAAACACACTCTCAGCATTACAAAAAAAAATAATCGTAAAGCGTCGAATCCTCGCGTATTATTTTGTTACTCAAAATATTTTACAAAATTCCAACGTGGACTCTCAACGCTGGATTCAACACTGAACAAGAACGTCGGCTTACCACGAAATTGAGCGTCGTCCTCATCTTAGCAGCTTGGAAAGCTTCGTGCGGTCGACTCAAATCAATAAAAAAATTTTTAAATAAATACTCAATATAAATTACAATTAATTTCAAATTAACTACTCGCGACAATAGTTCGAAATTAATTTTAGGTTGCGGAGCGCGCAAAAGCGCGTCCGTTTCCGTTGACAGTCCAGCCTCGAATCGTCTTCTTCATGGAGAAGTATCCACTTCTTTCTTCGTTGAAGTTGGCGGCGCTAGTCTTCATTTCCATTGGGATTGATCCCCGTCGATAGTTGATCTAGGTCCGTATAACAGTCAACGGACCTTCCCGACAGTTTTTAGTCACCTCTGCTCCTGCAGTACTGACTAACCAACTGTCATCGATGTTGATCGTCGTATTGGAAAATAGCGGCACTGCAGCGTCGATCGGTATCCAGGCCTCTCGGGTGTTTACGCCGCTCGGTGCCTCTTCACTTCGGTACTCGCTTCGGTACTAGCTTGTTTACGTCGTAGCTCCATCCTTGTCGCTCCAATGCATAGCCTCGTACCCACTGTGACTCGCTCTGTCTTCGTTACTCGTCCAGCGTTACGCATTTTACACAAAATAAATTCATAAAAATTAGTACAATTTTCATTCATTCACACATAACATTCACGACGTTGGATTCGAGCCTGGAATATTATAATACCCCAAGTATTGGGCGTCGAATAAAAATTTACCACGTTACAAAGTATTTACAGAATGATCAGATATCAAATTTTTGTAAGCTCTCTAGTTCAAAAACTATAAATACTTCAAGTTAATTTTTTTTCGTTAGCCTTGAAAATTGCACTGATAAGGTAAATTTAATTTTGTAGGGAAATATGTTTGAAATCCAGGTTAATAAATGTTCAATTCCAACATGAATAAATAAGAATAGTCTGCGATGTTTACACCTATCTTACCTGACTTTAGCAAAATCGATGAGAGGTTGACCGTGAACACGTAAGTGCTCAGCCTCTTTTTTCAAAAATTCATACGCCGTAAAGATGTCGTATTGACGTTGGCGAGTAAAAGAACGACCACGTTTGTCGCCTGTAGTAGCACTCCATGACAATGTGTCTGGGCGTTTTCTAGGCGTTCTTTTACTCCTCACTCGTCGTATTCGCTCTGAAAATTTTAAAAGATTTTATACAGATAAATAAATAAATGTTGTAGTAAATATTCCTAGTACTTATTATTTCCACTAACAAATAAAAAAAATTGAATAAATTATTTCTGAGAGAAATTTTCATTAGTTTTAATTTATTCAACTAAGTACAATAACATGACTGTCTATGCTTCTAAATAAGAAAACGTTTGCACACTGATAAAAATTTTAACTTGAATCAAGAGCAAAAATCTTGAACCAAGAACATCAATTGGAAGAAAATGAATTTCTTGAGCCAAGAGGAAAAATTCTTGTGTCAAGATATATTTTATTAATTCAAGAGAATCTATCGTGACTCAAGAATTTTTCCTCTTGGCTCAAGAAATTCATTTTCTTCCAATTGATGTTCTTGGTTCAAGATTTTTGCTCTTGA